AGTACCAGGGTCTCGAGTGTGCACAGTGGACTGCCCTGTGGCACTTTAAGAAAAACAAATCAGCCTGGATTTCTGGGGATGGGGTCTACGCACTGGTAATTTTTAAAAAGTATTCTAAGTGGTTCTAATGTAAAGTCAGCATGGAGAACCAGTTGCTTAAATCAATTAAAAAATATCTATGCTGATGAGAAGCTTTCCGGACCTTTCTTTAGCAAGGAACCTACATTTTATAATAGTCACTGTTTAATAGTAAAGCATTTCCACCAACGTTGTCTAGTTCACAGAAGAGATGAACGAGGCAAATCCAGGCCAAGCGGGAGGGCGACAGGGAGGCTATGCCGGCACGTATGGGAACCCTGCAGAAGCCCCAAATCATAGGGTTGGTCCTGATTCCACCCTTGTCTTATATCTGTGCTCATTGCAAGCTTGGTCATTTTTTGTCAAGGGTTCTAAGTATGGCTGGCTAAGGTTGGGCAGTTTGGGTCAATCAAAAAAAGAAAAATGCTCTGTGAACAAGAAATGGCTTGATCAAAGTTGTCAGCAGTGGAATCATCAGGGAGAGCCCAGGCTTCTGCTCTGTTAAAGCATAAAATTTCCAAAAGAAATTTAACAGCCTGTCTAGGGGAAGGCAGAAATAGTGTTCCAAATAAAAATGTCCTCCTTTTTCCACTTCAGTAGTGCAAGAAAAAAATTAGAATAAAGAATTTACCAGGTGGCACAAATGTTTAAGCACTCAGCTACTAACGAAAGGTTGGTAGTTTGAATCCACTGAGAGGTTCCTCAGAAGAAAGGCCTGATGATCTGCTTCTGAAAGATCACAGCCACTGAAAATCCCATGGAGCACAGTTCCACTCTGACACATGGGGTTGCCATAAGTTGAGGTTGACTTGACAGCAACTTTTTTTGAATAATTGCAGGTAGGAAGACCTATTTAAGGGTTCAACCTGTTCAAAACGGTAAGAGACTGGAGGGACACCCCAGGACTATGGCCCCCGGACACCCTGCTGACTCAGAACCGAAACCACTTCCAAAGCCCACTTTTCAGACAAGGATTAGACAGGCCTATAAGACAAACAATAACACACGTGAGGAATGTGCGTCTTAGTTCAACCAAATACATGAGACCAAATGGGCAACTCCTGCCCAAAAGCAAGATGAGGAGGCAGGAAGGGACAGGAAAACTGGACAAGTAGACATAGGGACGCTGGGGTGGATAGAGGGACAGTGCTGTCACATTGTGTGGATTGCAATCAATGTCACAAAACAATATGTGCATAAATTTTTGAATGAGAAACTAACTTGAACTGTAAACTTTCACCTAATGAGCAATAAAATTAAACAAACAAAAAAACAGCCCCAATTTGGCTAACACACTGGAAAAAACGAAACAAACCAAAATGGCAGCCGGCTGCCAGCAGGTCTTTTGAGTGGAATTACTTTAATGGAGAATGATCTGCAATGATTGCCATGAAGAGTCCACACACAGGGCTGCTGAGATCAAGTGGATGGAGCCTGCGGATGGACCCCAGCCTTGGCCTTCATGGACCTGTCTATCCACTTGAGGAAGGAGGTGACTTTGGTATAGATTCCGTATTTTCCTTTCCTTGCGCATCCTTCTCCCCAGCTTACAATCCCAGTGACAAAATAGGTGTCTCTGAAGCGAGTGACGTGGGGACCCCCACTGTCTCCCTGACAAGCATCTTCAGGATTGGAGTCATAGCCAGCACAGAACATGTTTTGGGTGATTGTGAAACTACTCGACAGCTTGCACGTGTTGCGGTCCACATAGGGCACCTCCAGCAGTTTGAGGGTGGTGGACATGCGGCCCTTCTCGTGGGTACGCCCGAATCCGCTGACAATCCCTGTTTTCTGCGTCATCAGTGTTGACTCAGCCCAGTCCTTCTGCGGTAGGCAGGCAGGAGCCACGTTCATCCGGAATGTGATGGGGGTCTTCAGTTTTATGACGGCGATGTCGAAGTCGTAGGTTTCTTTGACAAATCTGTTGTGCTTGATTATCATTTCCACTTCGTGTGCCATCTCATTGCCCTCTTCCTTTTCTGTGTTCCGATCACCTGGATATGATTAAAAACATAACAATTTTTAGTTCAGTTTGCGACACAGCATCCCTGGGTGGTGAAAATGATTAACACACTTGGCTGCTAACCAAGAGGTTGATGGCGGTTTGAGTCCACTCAGAGATGTCTCAGAAGAAAGGCCTGGAGATCTACTTCTGAAAAATCAGCCACTGAAAATCCTATGGAGCAGAGTTCTAGTCTGACATATATGGGCTCACCATGAGCCGGAAGCAAATTGACAGCAAAAACAAAAAATTTTAATTTAAACTTTGGTTACTTATTTTTCTTTTTAAAAAATTTTATTGTGGTAAAATATGTATAACAAAAAATTTGCCAC